AGTGCACTCTATACATCTTATACTATTGCTCACTTGCTTTTACTTGCTAGTCTTGTTTCGCTTATCCTACGAGATCTTGGCTATATGATTGGGTAACCTCATTATACATAGTGATGATCATCAAAAGTTTTATCACTATTTTTATTTGCAGGAGCTTCAGAAAGAGAATGCAGAGCGTTTTACTGCACTGCTTCATATTTTAAGGGAGAGAGAACTCTCCGTTGTTGTGGCTGAAAAAGTAAATAACTCCTATGGAGTTCACTACGGTCCGTTTTATTACTAATTTCGTTCTGCCCTTATAAGTGACGTTCAATATTAGTTGTGATGCCGTCCCCTCACAACTTCAAGTTCCTTATTAAAGTATGGAGCCATGCTTTATTAGTGGACTGTACGTCACATGATAACAGTGCTTTCCCTTCCTTGCCACTGGAAGGCTTTAGTCACCAGGGAATTTGCTTTAAATAAACAACTTATTGCGGAGCCGTCCTCCTCGTCTGGGCAATATAAAAACTACGTGCTAAACCAGTTGTCAACTGTATGTTATTCCATACTTATCTTAAAACATCTAAATTTTCCTTTATTTGGTGTAAGCTTCGAATAGATAGCGAGTTCAACACGCTGGCGTATTCCTCTTACATTCCTCCCTTCTCTTTGGAAACAGGTCTTCATTATAATACTAATTTATTATACATCGCAGCATAAAGTTAAGGGTTTGCTTAAACTCACAGAACAGCAGAAAAACAGTGAAATATTCCAGCTATTCATTGATAGTAATAAGCCAAATAAACGGCGACGAGGTAGAAAGCCAACAATGATAGAGAAAAACTAAATTCACACTATCCACAGTGAGGTTTGATAGGTGTTTCCAGTAGATCTCTAAATTATAACTGATAAAGTTACATAATATTGATTTTAGCTTTTTCCTTTCTATGAAAAAATTATTTTTTAACCATAAATATACACCTCGCATATATATATATATATGAGATTAACTATAAGTCATAGAAGTGAGGGTAAAACACGTGTTACAAAGTTTAATATAAAGTTTTCGCTGAGGTTTAGTTTAAAGCACATTCAAAATCTACTTAACTTCAACCCTCTCCTTGCAAGTAATAATTTTACGTTACATAACTAATATTGCAGGAGTTTCTTTAATAATAAGGTATTTTCTTGCAAATTTCCATATATAAATTAGTCTTATAACTAATCTATACGTAATTTTATTCTGTTACAGAGGATATATGAGTTTTTATTCGTATCTGAACCCCCATAATTATGGCCACATCCCTAACAATCGCTCTCTTTGTTAGTTTCCTACTACACTACTGCGCTATCTTTATTAAAAATATCCAAGCAAGTTCTCGGTTTGACAGTAGAATTCATTGTCATATCTAACAAACCTAAAGCCGAAACCAGAAATAAAACAATACTTATTTTTATCACATTAATTTTGGTGTTAACTCTGATAAATCACTTGTTCATACCACGTGATACCTTGTACATGCGCCAATATACCACATGGATGTTTACGTATCGTTGCACATGTTTCTGTCCCGCGCTTTGGGTTACCTTTTACTCTCCCCGATTACTCTTCCTCTCTTTCTTCTTCATTATGCAACTCTTAGTAAAAGATGACGAGCGTACTCGTTGCTTTATCAAAAAAAAATACTTGCATTTGACAAGTTCAGTTTCTTGCATAATTTAGCTACTAAAACAGATGAAAAGTTAGTCTTGTAGACCTACCCGATATGACGCCGGTAAGCGGGTAGTGCCAGTACATTAGGCATATATGCTTAACTATCTAGAACTAGTTAAAAAACGTAGGCGAGCCCTAAGACAAAAGAGAGAAACCCGATATTGCTTTGATTGAGAGTCCAGAGCCTACAGAAGGACTCCAGTAAAAATGGTGTGCGTTTGGAGAATGAAAAATTTAAAATAATTCGCTAACTCGTTTAAAAACTAAAGCACACATGATGATATGAGTTTAAAAACTTAGGTGTTAAAAGCAAACGCAAGCCATTAGACCCTTTTTTTGCTGACTGTAGTGGGCTGTACATATCCTACGCTGTGGTAAGTTACATAAAAATATTAAACTGCCAGTTGCGATCATTAGGATAGATTTAGGGTTATACTATCCTGTATAATTGACGGGAGTTAAAATTAAACTCAGAGAATTCTTTCTTAAATACTGAACAAACGAACTAATGCCTATGCCAAACAATAATGAAATGTAGGTCACTGTCAAAGAGAACATCGTCAAAGGCAGTAAACAAAAGCCTAAATTTGCGAACTTATATTCGAGTCAGTATAACCCGCACAAAATGTTCTAGTAAGCGAAACCACGAGCTAAGGTACAGAGTCGACTGAAAGGTATAAATGGGGGTTCCAAGAGGTGGCGCACAACTTCACAAAAGTGTAGCTAGCCATAACTGTTTGATATAGCGCAAGACATTCCCTTTAATCTACTAGAAATTAATTTATATCAATATTAAAGTGCCAATTGCATTGTCGTATAGGAGACATTTTAGTAAAGGATTCATAGTCCCCTTAGCTGGGGCGCCCTACTTTTTGGCGTGGCGGGAAATCTATCAATGATATAACAAGTGAAAAATTTCCTGCTTAGATAAAGACAGTAACGACCTTTCGGATATTTATAACGTAAATGCCTCAACGAATATGAAAATGATACGTGATTGTAACAGTCAAGATTAACAAATATTTTAGCAGATTTATTCTATTTACTTGCACAAAATTTATGTGATATTCTTCATGCAAAATAAAGTATAAGTATGATCGTCAACTCTACGGACTTTCACTCTGAAAAATTATTAATAAAAATAAAATAATTACAACTTTGCAATCACTGTTTTTTAGCCATTACAACGCTCTTTCCAAAGAAAAATTTCTTAATAAATAGGTAAAGCACCTTGAAGAATATCATTAAGGTTAAATTGAATTAGAAAGGCCTGCATATGATTTAAAGTTCCTTGTTGTCCTAAAACTTAATAGGTAATAATTACTTGGTGGCTTTTGAATCGCTAGAATACAGTTAAGATAGCTTGAAAAAAGAATTTCCTTTTATCTGATATCACAAGTACGAGGGGATAACACTGATTCCCCGGCAGCCGTTTTTAGAATTATTTGGTAGCTAAGGCGTAACGGATACTCACTTCGATAAGGAAATACAGTCATTTACCAGATTAAGAAGTCACGAAGCAGGCTACTCCCTCCTTTTCTCACCTTACGCCAGCTTTACTATAGTATGGTATTGCTCCAACAATACTACTCCCAGAAGAGCTTAAATCGCCTTTAACTTTGAACACATAAATTTTTATTCTTGCCTAACATTGGCTCTTTGCAGAGTATTTGGTAGCCCCCAAGATTTGTAAGATGGACATAATGAACCATAAATCAAAGGTTACGTGTGCAGCTTTATATAAAAAGATACTGCCTGTAACGTTACTTAATAAAAGTATGACAGAAAGGATTACTATGTTTTTAAGAGAGACGAAAATTTTGAACTTTATTTGACAGAATTTAAGGAAAAGTAAGCATGAATTTTATATATATGATATAAAATTAACGTATAAGACTAGTTAGCTTAAAAAATTAAGAATTTTTCATTATTATTTTATAACCTTGTATTAGAAATAAAGAAGAGAAGGATGAAGTTTTTTCTAATGTACTTTCCATGTCTTCTGTTACCGGTGTTTCGGAAAAGACACTAATTTGGGTTATAAGTATAAAAATTAAATTTCATATCTATAAATAGATATTTTTTACTAATGAAAGGCTAAGAATGAACTTTTGCTTAGCACAGAATTTATTTATGTAAATAACAAAGCTAAGATTCTATTAGGTCCCTTTCAGTTACTTTGTTATTACTTAGCCCTCTTTAAAGAATTTCTACTGCTTTTATATAGGTTGTATGCGCTGCCTTTATGAAGATGAGAACTTTCTGAAATTATCAGAGAAAGTTTTAATCGACTGTCTTATAGAATTACTAGGGACCCAAAGCATAGTACACCAGTCGACGGCTTTTGAAATATGCCGATCATTATGCAAAAGTTGTAAGAATCGTTATAGTACTGTTAGCCTCTTCTTTGAAGGATTTCCTCTAGTCAAAGTAGAAGCAGACACCAGAATTCTGACGTTACAAGTATTAAGCATTCATGCTTATCAACTGCTTTTGTGGGTCCTGAGAGAGTGCCCCATCGCCTGCCCGCTCTGGGATAACTGCTTGTGCTGCTTTTTCTATGCAATGGACTCTTTACCCTTCGAGCCCCTCGTCTCTGTGTAAGTCCTCCTTTGCACAACTAACTGCTCTCTTGGTTACTTTCTCGCACGTCAAGCATTGACAAGCTGGATCCTTCGGTTCTCGGGGGCCTCTTCGAAAGTTCGCTTTTTCTTTCTTCTATCTGGACCGACAAGCTCATAAACTACTTCGAGCTCGCTTTGTAGGGATTATAAAGGATTGGAACCCACTAGCTTTTATACTCTTTTATTAAGCTTTGCAGATAAGATTCAACTCCGGGCTGATAAGTTTGCTATGCTCTGTGGTTAGCCTTTTTAAGTCCCTATATTTTGCAAAAAAACACCTTTGTGTATCTAATAGGCGGATTAGGCTCTCTCGAACGTTCAACGTTTATAGTTTGCAAATGGTCTATTGGCACTATTTCTGAAAGAGTTTGTTCTTAAAATATTTTTCAAGGATAAATATGTTAGAACTGGGCGACCTCAAGGAACTGAAGAGCTTTGCGAGGATCCTGCTAGCAGCGGCTTTGCAGGAGCAAAACGTTGTGTCGCCATCTAATCTTTTCTCCATCATTTCGAATGCTGAGAGCTTCTGCGTTTTCTTGAAGAAAGTTATGCAACCGCTTTGTTTCTCCTCTGTCTCTCGCTAACCCCTACTGCGAACGCCTGGCGTAGGTCTGCCTCTTACCCCCCTTGGCATTTTCAGAAGTAATTTATGCCATGTGATTTGTGGTTTGCCATGGAGTTAAATATGCATTGGCGCATTAGGCTGCCCTCCAAGAATGCAAACCGCTCGCGATGCTTTCTAGTAGTGCCGTTGACTGTATAGCTCAATTGCTTAGCTGCTTAGGAGACCTACTTGAGCGAGCACACAGAGTGTGTCATCTTCCACCGTCCCTACTTTTTGTTTAAGAGTCGCTTAAGGTACAGTCCTCCTTCTCGGGATTATACCAGCGGACCATGATGGGCAAGCTGTGTTCTAGTACAGCTTCCATCATACATGGGTTACTCCACAGCGAGCTAGTAGAAGATCGAGATAATGGGATGGTGCTCTTTATTATTTCTAAGTGGGCAGTTTGTAACTTGTACTGGCAGAAATGGCTTCTGCAGTTACTTTGCACAGGTGTAATCGGCTGGTCTACGTTGGAAAGCATTCTCATCGGTATTTTGGAAGCTCCACTACCGGAAGTTTATTATTTAGGATACAAACCTGCACGCAATACTACCCTACCCCACCAGGTGCAAAAGACCTTTTATATCATTATAATGGCCGTGTTCGAACAGGCACGTTGCCTGCAGCCTCTACATTTCGCGAATGACGGGTGAGTTATTTACTATTAACCTTAAAAACGAGTGTTTCATATATCCAACGCAGAATTTAGAGAGGTTTCGTAGTACATAGTTTAAAAGTAAAGATGCTTTTAACATAATAAGAATCTTAATAAGTTAACTTGTATATAAATTGCAGCGAGTTAACGGCTTGGGTGAACTGCATGCTAACTAAAAGTAACCTTATATAGTAAAACTTTATAACTCTGTTGTATGATATTCTCCAGGTGTGGTTGACCATGGAGAAAGTGGGCTTCAAAATACACTAATAGCAGCCCACATCCTATTTCTTTTGCTATTGGGTTCATAGTTGAAAATTTATTTTTTAAGTCTTCATTCTTAAGCTTTCTTTAGACGTCAGAGATCAGGAGCGTAACTTTCGTAGAGAGGAAATTACAAATATGATCCTACACGGTTGGTAGATAAAATAATACCTATTACAAGACGGCGGCCTCTTAACGAACTCCAGGCACTAAAGGCATAAAGAAAAAAGCTTTAAACGCTATTAATTCGCTGTTATTGAAGCAATTATATTGCTTTCTTGCAAATGCAGGTTTCAATAAATATATTTAAAATACCTTTTCTGGCTTCCTGCATTATTATTTCTTTCAGAAAGCATTGAAAAAGAAAGTGCGATGAAAACCAAACAGGCCATGCTAGTATTGCTTGTCCTTCAAAGTCAAGAAGAAGCTTTCTACAGAGCCATCGGAGGTCTTGCGGCCGGGCTATTCTGTTAGAGTTGCTCGCCATTCTGTATTAGGGCCACAGTTTTTCAACAACCTCCTTGAATCCAGCGACCCATTTGTGTTGCTTGTTGCTAGCGAGTTCTTAATTAACAGGGTTTCTTTATTAGGAAAAGGTTAGTCTTTTATAACTTCGTGAGTTAAGTAGTTGCTCAATTATTAAATATGAAGATATTCCTAATGTTTTGGTTAAGAAACACGTTTGGAGCGCCACTGAAACGCACCCTTTAAAAAAACTTAACAAATTAAGAAATTTTTTAACCTGTTGATTTCGTAGGCTATAATTCCGAGCACCTGTATATTATGGACAGCAGAGTAATATTATAAATATGAAGTATAATAAAACTAAATCGAAGTAGCGAAGAGCACCGTACAATTATTTGAATATTACAGACTACTTATGTGCACTAAACCCAACTGGGCAACAAATTAAGAGAAAGAAAAACTTCATGAGGCCCTCGAGTTATACTTATTTAACTACATGTGAACACAATCCTCATATTATTAACAAAACTTGAAAATTAAATCTCCATTCTTATAGGAGACAGCATGTGGTATCTAAAATAATGATACAAACTTAACGAGCTCAGCATTGCTAATTATAAATGTTAAGGGTAAAGTATTATCACTTTGCCAGGAATGCACGTGTCAGCTCTAAAGCACGAGATAGCAGGAGTGGGAAATTTTGTTTTGTTTGCAGTATTCCTTGATAATTTAGTCAACCAGCTGCATGATTTCTTACCAATCCATCAAATTAATATGTTTTACATATTCGGCTTTTTTTAACTTGTGCAGTCTAATAAGACAAGAGACAAAAAAAAGTTTATACCCATGTATTTAAAAGTATAAAAAATTTATAAAGAGCAAAAATAACAAAAAGCAATAAGAAATACAGTCACTAAAACAAAAATGCTAACTTTATTTCATTATTAGTAGCACTGATATTAAAAATCTTTATAACCTAAGTATATAACGCCCGCCTTCTAAAAAAAAATTGAGTCGTTTAAATAAACTTTAACTAAAGAACTGAAAAAGTAAACAAATTTTTATTTTTGCAAGTTATATTTTATGGCAAACGTTTTTGTGATTTAGTGAGTTTTTGCCATATTTGGAGATCTGCATTCTTCAATCTTTTACTACGGGTTTGGTTAAAGTATTTGACTTGTTTACCGATAATCCTCTTTATCTTAAATTTGTTGTATACACAAATATTAGTAACTTTAATACTCTAATTTACTTGTATATGTTGCTAAACATTAACTCCATGTACATTGTATTTATATCGAAGATTTCTAACTTTATATACTTTCCTTACGAACATATATAAATTTGCTCAACACGCTCTCTATTCCTTTAGGGTAAAAAAAATTTGAAACTTCCACCATAGAGATTACTAGCTATAAAAAGAAAAATTTAAAAAAACCTACAAATTGCGCTTAGCAGAATTAACTAGCTGAGGTTTGTTTACATTGAAAGTGTAAGCAAAAACAAACGAAAATCAAATTAATACCTTATAGTGATATAACTACTAAAATCCACAAAAATCATTATAAAATCAAAGGGTTTTTAATTGGCCACAAAAAGTATTATAAAAAAGCAATTACGAATTTTACAAGTGTATGCTTTCTATAGATAGACCTTCTTAAGTGTTAAAAGGAATTTCTTTAAAACTTGACTATAGCGCAGTCGAAGAGAATTCACGATTTATAAAATTACACCCCTTAAAGTTCGCTCGTTAAAAAGTTTCCGAAAAAAACGAAAAGCTCTTTTTTTTTGCCTATTCATTTATTAAAATTTAAAGTGAATTACTTTTGTCATTCACAATTTCGGTATAAGAACTCAAAACTTCAAAACATTTCTATGAATACGCCACTGACCTCTATTGGTCATAACCCTATGTTTCCCCAACTTTCAAGTGCGTCAGCTGCAAGAGGTCACATAAACTTCATACGAACTCCATATTGTCAAGGTGTGCACATCTCCAACTATCGAGGTTATTCTTGTTACGACCCTAAGATGGCAAGGTTCTCTGAAGGTAGTGAGAGCTTCTTGGAATAAATTGAAGCTAAGGCACAAATGATTTAAACCTGTGCACAAGCAGTAATAGAAGAAAAGAACTTTAGACGTACTAGAGCAGGCCAAAGAAAACACGATTCGACTTTATCCAACCTCACTAGTAGGTTTCCTCTCGAACCACTTACTCGTGCTTTATGGGATAGGCTCCCCTTATGTAATCTTCTGGATCAAATCCGAAGTATACATGAACAGGTGTAGATATAACGAACTAATTACACGGGCAATTAAGAACAACCTATTCAAAATTGTTTCTACAGTTACTATTAACAGTTTAGTGGTTTCCTATGAGACTACTATAACTCAAGCATGTATAACGGTTTTGTAAAGCACGCTTTCCTGAGGTTACTGCATATGATTCCTTAAAGAAAAGGGAAAGAACGAATACGTAACACCCAAAAACCCTTATAATTAATTTATTAATTACACACGTTAATAAGTCAAAATATGCTTTGATAAATTGCGCAATGAACCTTGGGGCTTGATGTTCGCTGAGTTTACAATTTTTAAACTCTATATCTTTTTTGGCGATTTGTCGAATACAGTAGAATTTACAGGAAATAATTACATTTAAATCTGATGAGTGACTATTATACCTACGATGACAAAGTTAAGGCGGATGTTTGCGTGCATAGTTGACTTAGCCTCAACCTAATTACAAAGAAGTAGCTCCTGCTATTTAAATAGCCCTAATCACAGCGACAATCTACAGTATAAGTTAAGGATAACGATATAAGACTCTAAAAAGCTAAAATGGTACCCGTCTTTGACGATGTAACCAACACGATTAGAAACTCTTAATAAGTTTTGTACATTTCCGAGTAATAAAAAATGGCAGCCGTCGAGTGCTTTCCTAACATCTTTCATGAGTTTATTGTCGTGTATGGGGAGTATAGCAGAAGCTGTAATTCTTGACCTGATCCTAAAGATTTTGGGGAGTATTTCTTGTTCCACAGTTTCAGTTTTAATCCTATAAGTGCTACTTTATTACGCGACAGTTATTCCATTTTTTTAGAAAATGGGTTCAATTATTTTTTTTTGTTGACAGGTGCGTTAATTTGTAGAGTTCAGAAAGCTTTATCGGATAAAACTATAAACCTGAAGGTACCAGATCCTCCTTTGTTTTTTTAACTTTTCTGCTTCAGAAAACAATATACCAAGCCGGTTTATATTTGAAAGAGTTGAGATTATGAGCCCCGCAGGATTCACTGCTATCTCCGATTCTATATAATTTGTCCATGTCGAATTCTCTGCCACATCACCTTTTTCATTATAGTTGGCAGGGCTCCAAATACGCTTATTTATTTGTTACTGCCTTGAGTTATGATTTGATTCGTGGCGTATTACAAGTAGCCTACTGAAGAGCAAAGCTAATTTCGTTACCGAAGACGGGAAACTAGGGAAACTAACTGAAATAATCTGTTAGACATCCCCTCTCTTTCTCCCGCTCGGCTTACGGAAGTTGAATGTATGGGCGTTTGGATCGATAAAGAATTTTTATAACGCCATCACAATAATATACCTCATGAACAAAGTTAAAAGAGATTGTACCTTCTTTTGTGTGGAAAGGGTCTATTTTAGCGCAAATTAATCAGCCGACTTTAATTCAAGCATCCGTCGTGCGGCCTGATAACACACAACGAAAAAGGAAAACAAGAGAACGGAAGTTGTTTTATTTTTTATAATTATTACGTGACATTGGCTTAATAGGAATCTAAATGGGCGCAAATACCAACCCGAAGGAATTTGCACTTTCACAACTGTCTCGAAGGGCTGTAAAAGCTGGAAATACCGGACCCGAACTTTCTGATATTCGCCCCAATGTGGCGGAAAACCGCCAAAAAAGCTACCACCGGTGGAGACGGTTTCATAAAAACTCAGTGGCCCAAAAACTCCGGCCAGCACATATGCCAGCCAGGCCTACCCAACTAAGGGTTCCCACCCAAGGGGGATTTAGGAGTTGCTTATTACAGGCTTCAGACCGTTTACAAAAGGTTAAAGATTTTCCATTTATGTATATCGTTTAGATTAAATTTAAGAATCTTAAATTTGACTCCGATAAAAAGATGCCTGCTGTAATTACCATATTTATATAGTAAATATTTTGTTTACAAAGCCCCTAGCAAACTGTTTAAAAATGCTTTTTCTAAAACATTAGTTTATGATGCCTTAATTTGGTTTTATTTTTTAATTATAGTTTCATATGGTTTCCTTCTGTTTAGTGTAGTTGTAGGTTTGTATGCATATATTCCATGATATAGTCTTACGGAAGTACTTAAATCAAAAAGCGGAGCTTCTAGGTTATGCGGGATGCTACCTTATACCGCGACCTGAAGTTAAGACGGCTTCCTAAATATTTTGACGTTTTAGTGCAGAAAGCTATCAATGAAACTTAGCTCGTTCTAACCATATAGTTACTTAAGCCATAACCTGTGACGCAGGTATTTACACTCTCTACAGGAGACCACGGCAACTGTTTTTATGATCCTGGAAATCATATGGCTCTCTGACGATAATGAGCGACCAAAGGTGAACTTATAAGAGCTAAAATATGTATGAGGAAAAACAAAAATAATACTATAATTTTTAACAGAACTAAGATCTTAGAGCAAGAATGCAACTAATGCACAACTATATCAAAGCGTGCACAAGGGGAAACAGAACTTAAGAAAGAACGTAGAATAGAAACAGCAGGACTCAGAACTTGGACGTAGAAACAAAAGTAACTTAAAAAGAAAACAAGCAATAGGCGCTTTATTGGTCGCGTGTAACATAAAAATATCCAATGAAAAATGAATGGATAGGGGCGCATGCTTCATCACACTTGTCAGGACGTAGAAATTTTCTTATTTAAAAAATTAGTTTTAGCTTCCTTTAGGTCCCCTTTTTACCTTGGACCTGAACTGTAGTATGATAACTTTGTAGGAAGAACTTTTAGCACTGTATAAGTGTTTCTTATTTTCTACAAGTTTTTCTTTATTAAAAAAAAGAAAAACTTGCAGGTTTAAATTTAAAATTTTTACTACCTAGCATTAATTTATTTATTTATGCTGTTGAGAGTTACAAAGAGGGGTTTAAACCCTTAAGTGCTTAATCCATCTTTATATTTATTTTAAAAAAAAAAGCGGCTGGCTTTGAATTTTACCGAAAAAAAAAGGAGAGGTTGGCACAGAGTTATTCTTAAAGTCGGACAACTAATCTGCTCTTGAGTAATGGATATGTACCTCATGTTATGAAATATATGGACTTGCAGTAATACAATTAGTTTGCGTTTAACGTTTCAGATAATAACTTGAGGTGCTTAATCTGACTGCTGGAATTG